TCGTATCTTATTATCTGTTTAGTAACTGTGGTATTGTTTACAATTAAACGCTTGGTGACGTCACCTCCATGTTCTTCAGGCTGAATAGAGCTGTTTTACATTAGCGTATCATTCATATTTCCATGAGGGTCTGCGGACCAGCACAAAGTTGGGATTTTTTTATGCAAATGATTTACTCTATTTTAGTAATGAACAAACACGAACATAAGCGGCTGATTTTAGGTTTTAAAACACAACCGTTTTTGTTGTTGTTTGTACATTACTCAATGAGTCACAAACATTATTTTGTATAAAGTGCTAATAAAATGTTTTCATGGCAAACTCATGTTTCCTTGTTTACCTCTTAATAAAATAGTTGAGCCTATATATTGGCTATCTTATAGTTTTCAAAGGTTCCTATTTTATAGTATACAAGTGCCCATGTTACTCAAGACATTAAAAATCCAATTATTTATGTATCCACCTCCTCAATGTGTGTGCATCTGTGTATGTACGGGATGAAATTGGTTTCAGTTATTAACACTCATTGTAGCCATATGCCTAGCTGCATAACTATATCAAACATAAAATCACTTGGAGCTGTAAATCTGTGTAATATATGTAGGCTACGTGAGGACTTTTAAGAAGGTGAGTAAAATAGATATATATATATCCTGCATAGCCACACCCGACAGGAAGGCCTTAGAGGCCGCCACACTTCGGGTGGAGTGAGCCTTGACCCCTAAGGGTGAGAGAAGGCCAGAGGACTCATATGAAATAGTAATGGCATCAACAATCCACCTACTGAGGGTCTGCTTAGTGGCAGGCAGACCCCTCTTGGAAAGACCATAACAAACGAATAATTGGTCAGACTTCCTCCACATGGCAGCTCTGTGGACATATGTCATATGTGTGGACACTTGCAATTTAGCTTCTGCTGGTCAGGCTCCCTAAAGGGGGGAGGACAGAAAGCCTGAAGTATGACAGGCCGTGGTACTGAGGAGGGCACTTTAGGGACATACCCCGGCCTGGGGTACAGAAAAGCTTTGGCCAAGCTGGGCGCAAAGTCTAGGAAGGAGGGGGCCCCACTGACAAGGCCTGCAAATCTCAGATTCTCTTCAGTGAAGTGATGGCTAACAAAAAGACAGTCAACCTCGGTTGAGAGACCGGAAGCTACGAGTTGTGCCCCTTCAGAGGCCACACCCAAAGCTTCGGGCGGGGTTGAAAGATCGTACCCCCCGCCTGTGAGAGGAGATCCCTCCTGACAGGAATCTCCCATGGAGAGCCGTCGAGAAGGGAAATCAGGTCCGAGAACCATACGCGGCCCGGCCAGAACGGGGCTACTAGTAGCAGACGGACCCCGTCCCGGCGCACTCTCTCCAGAACTCCCGGGAGCAGAACGATTGGGGGAAAAGCATTACAGACGAAGCCTCGGCCAAGTGGAGCTGGATGAGTCAGAGAGTACCAGAGGGGACATTGCGATGTCTCCTGAGTCCTGCAAAAGGTATCACGTTGGACTCAGCTGCCATCAGACCCAGCAGTCTTTGAAAGTGCTTGACAGTGAGTGACCGGCTTTCTTTGACTCTCGCGACTGCAGTGAGGATCGACTCGATCCGAGCAGGAGACAGCTGTGCCTGCATCGTGGTCGAATCCCACACCACGCCTAGATAAGTGGTCCTCTGTAATGGAGAAAGCACACTTTTCTTTGCGTTTAGTCTTAACCCCAACTCTTTCATATGCGCGAGAACGACATCTCGATGTCAAACCACCATCTGCTCTGATTGAGCTAGAATAAACCAATCATCGATATAATTTAGTATGCGGATGCCTTGGAGTCGTAGTGGAGCCAGAGCAGCATCCACACACTTCGTGAAAGTGCGGGGTGAGAGTGCAAGGCCGAATGGAAGAACCCGATATTGGTAAGCTTCGCCCCCGAAAGCAAGCCTCAGGAACTTCCTGTGGTGAGGAAGGATGGAGACATGGAAATATGCATCTTTTAGATCTATCGTGACAAACCAGTCCTCGGACCTGATCTGAGACACAACATGTTTGATAGTGAGCATTGTTTCCCGTTGAAAGAAGGCGGAGGAGAACCAAACTGAATTCTGTAACCTCTCTCTACAGTCTGTAGGACCCATCGTGAGATATTTGGCAAAAGCTTCCACGCTGCCAGAAAATCTACTAAGGGAATCAGTCTCTCGAGACTGACCTCCGGTGTAATAGGAGACCTCCTCAGAGGTAGTGAGCCCCCCAGAGCCGCTACGTTTACGGGCGGACACTGGGATGTGCACTCGCTGGAGACCGCTGTGCCCTGAAGCACCGACGGTGGCAGGGTTAACATCTCGGCCACCTGAGGGCACTGAGAAGAGACGGGCACCGTATAATGAGGTGTACACAGCTCTCCCCAGCGGGGGCTGCCTTCAGAATCCCTGGGACACAAACATCAGGGCTTCTTTGTAGAAGGCTTCTTAGCCAGAAGGACGGTCCTCAGATCGGCCTTCGTCTTCGAAGCCTTCGACTGTGACTCACTTTCTGCGGTATGAGGAGCGGGCACACGGCTGGGGCACAAGGCACAAGCGGGGCGTTAAGCAGGAAGACCCTGTCCTTCTCTTTGATGTCGGACAGGGTCAACCACAAATGCCTCTCCGCGGCCACCAAGGCTGCCATCGACTGCCTTATAGCTTTGGCGGTCTCTTTCGTGGCGCGGAGAGACAAATCAGCGGTTCGCCGGAGTTCGCTAATATCATCGGCTTTAACTTCCTCACACTCATCTAACTCTTTAAGCAGGTCTGCTTGGTATGCCTGAAGAACAGCCATCGTGTGAAGGCATGCACCAGCCTGACCTGCTGCCGTGTACCCTTTGCCCACCAGCGCTGAAGTGGTACGAAGCGGCTTGGTGGGCAGTGCCGGGGCTTTAAGGGAAGACGCCACACCGGGAGACAGATAGCTCGCAAGCGTCTGTTCAACCCGGGGCATCGCCCTATAACCGCACTCATTTAATCCCGTGATGTTAGAATAATCGACCAGAGACTGACTAAAGAGGCGGGCCGAGTATGGTTTTGACCACGATCTCGACACCTCAGTGTGGAGATCGGTAAAAAATGGCAAGCCCCGGCGTGGAGGGAGCGGCTTAGACCGTAAAAAGCGTTCCTCTAACTTGCTTTTAACGGGTTCTGCCTGCTTCACGGCGGGCCATTCGAGATTTAATTTGGCCACGGCGCGAGATATCACCTCCACGAGCTCCTCATACTGTGCAGACTGAGGGGGTCCTTCGGCGCCCTCGCCATTGCCCTCCTCGGAGGATGACAGTCTGAGCGCCGAGCCCTCTCCCCGGGGGGAAGAAACCGCTCCGTCGGAGCGTGCTTCCGAACCCTGGGAGGTGGCGCTGGATCCGGTGGCAGAGGGAGAAGAAAAGGACTCGCCCGTCTCCATTCCCTCCACCAGATCCAGCTGCGAGCCCCACGACCGCAATCGCCACGCTGCCTCAGCAGACGCGGGACCAGAGCCTCCTCAAAGAGAGCCCTCCGGGAGCGAAGCGTCCGCATGGAGAGGCGCTCACAATGCGGGCAGTCAGCTCCCTCGAGAGCTGACTCGCCGTGCTTCGCTCCCAGACAAACAAAACAAAGGCTGTGTGTATCCCCGCCCGTGAAGTAGCGAGGGCAGGGAGGAACACACATCCTAAACTGCTGTTTGCCTTTATCACCCCCATTATTTGTCTTGTGCTTAGACTTTGGCATTGCTTTTTCGTTTGCAAAAGTGACAGACAACGGTAAATAGGACATACACCCACAGAGCACTTCACTGAATGACAGAAGCTGCCGCTGTCTCCACCTCACGTGCTTTTATAGTTTCCTGGTCACACGTCACCCCGTCCGTGATGTCGCGCCCATCCATTGGTCTGATTACACACACGATTCAGAGCATAGTCACGCTGAAGGCGTTCCCAAAGCGTTCGACGCAGCTCGAGTTCCTGAAGGGGAACTAATATTAATGAAATAAAAGGCCACTTAAAAAACTTACTATAAGAGAAATTTACTGTAAAGCGTAATTTACTATAAATGCTTGTCAGTGCATACAGCAGTACACTTTAAGACAATAGAAGTAATTATGAAATTACAAAGATGTTAAGTGGGTCAAAAAGTAATTGCATTTAATATAAATGTAATTCTCTTTTTAAAAGTATGCTGAAGTGTGCTTTCTTTAGCACAAGAGGTTGCAGAGCTGAAAATACAAATATGGCTATTAAAGAAATCATATAGACAACCAAAGCCTATTTTAATTTCAATAACAGCTAATGTTTGATAACTTTTTTGTTTGTTTATCCTATCTAACCTAAATTTGCATTTTTAAATTAAATAAAATGGTGATAAGTGGAAAAATTGGTGAATTTTCTAATGAAAAACAAACTTATATTTTGCATCACATAAAAACATTGTTCGTTGACTTTATCAAATAAGATGACTAAGCTTAGTATCCTGTTTTATTATATCCATAGTATTTCATAAATTATGTAGAAATTGCTTGAAAATGAAAGTTTCTTGAAAATGACCTAGCTATTTGTTAAACTGTATTGTGTTCAACTGTCCTTTAATTCTTCTTAATAGCAAAACCTCTATTTTGTCATCAAGTAGCATTGGTAATAAAACCGTGTTGCACATTCACTATAAAAGCAGTGCTGCTGTACTTCTAATACGACCTACCACCTGACAATCTGTATCTGCCCTCCATTTCACTGTGGCATAGAATGTGCAGCTGCTCCTATAGACACACTGAATTTAAAATGTTTTTTCCATAGAGGCATAACAAAGAAACTCGCTGAGAATCCACGGTCACTGATCTGAATGCAGTCTCAGTGAGGAGCGTGAAATTGGATTTGTGTATGGAATCTGTTATGGCCCAGTCTACCTTCTGTTTTAAACCGAGACTCCGCTATGAAACACTGTTACTAATAATTAATAAGAGTTTAAACAAAAATAATAAAAGAGTTTCTGATTGTTTCTGTATCTATGTGCGTCTCACAGAGGGAACCAGAACCGTGAACACGCTCAGCGGTGGCTTCATAAGCTCAATGACCAGTGGGAGCACCAGAGGTTTCTACAAGACTGCCATGAGGTAGGATGAGTGCCAACTGAGCACAAACAATAAAAACTGTGTCATTCTTTCTTTGTTTTTGTGTGAAGCTTGTGCGAGAGATGATTTTTATTTTTGAACCAAAAGATGTTTGCCCCTCTGTAAGTAAATCTGTGCATCAGTTAAGTGTGGACAGCAGTGCAGAATTTTGAAGTAAAGGTTTGGACGTAAGCTCACGCTTGTTTCTCCTGTTCTTGGTAACTTGTCTTATAAAAAGTATTTCTTACATGTAGCAAAATTACAATACATTACTCTTACAGAGTATGTAACCAGATGCAATGCGATAAAGTGATATATGTGTTTTAGTCAAGCTAGTCAAGCTGCAGGATATTTTGATGGTCACATGGTTTTAATAACAGTGGCATCATTCTGGTTAATCCTGCCCACAGTGAAAGCTCATTGGTCCAAAATCCTGCTCCATATGATTGTATATTAAACATCAGATATGTTTGATTGACTGTGATCGACACGGCCTTTACGTTTCATTGTGGACAAATTGTTGCAGGAAACTTTGCTGACCCTTGTGAAACTGCGCTTAATTGTATTAAATGTGCACTTGTAAAGTATATATTTTTTAATAAACTTGAAGATAATATAATTTAAAGAATTAAAAGACTACTTAAAGGTGTCATATGATGCAATTTCAAGTTTTCCTTTCTCTTTTGAGTGTTACAAGCTGTCCGTGCATAGATAAGATCCCTAAAGTTGCAAAGACTAAAGTCTCAAACTCAAAGAGATATTCTTTATAAAAGTTAATACTTATCCACGCCCTCCTAAAACGCCTCGTTTAAACACACCCCCACATGTCTACGTCACTGTGTGGGAAGATTTGCATAACACCGCCCAAATGTTCACGCAAAGAAAGAAGGCGTAACTTTGATTCTCGCTGTAGTATTGTTGCCGCCGCCGCCATGTCGTGAAGACGCTGCGTGTTTCGTTGCGAAAGCGAAAATACTTTGTTTGGCCTTCCAAAAGAGGACACAACTAGAAATCAGTGGTTAAGTTGTATTTACAACACTATTCCAGAACAGTTTAACCCAAATATTTAGATGTGTGCAGCACATTTTATGGAGGACCGTTTCCTAAACCTGCAGAGTAGCCTACAATGCGTCTGTGCACAAAGGCTATTTCTATAAAGTAGGGCAGTTCCAAATTTACAATGACCATCTCCCTCGCTTTGAACTGTGGCTTATAAGTAGCTACAGTCTAATGCTGCTCATTCAAGCAGACTTAAGATTTTCATTGTGGCTTTGTCCTCTGATTTGGAATCCACTAGTGAAGCGCTATCAGGAAGGACTGGTTCAGACCAATCCATGTGAGAAACAAAAACCTTAAAGGGTTAGTTCACCCAAAAATGAAAATTAGCTCATTACTCACCCTCAAGTCATCCTATGTGTATATGACTTTCTTCTTTCAGACGAATCCAGTCGGAGTTATATAAAAAATTGTATTTGATCTTTCAAGCTGTTTAATGCCACTCAGCGGGTGTTGCATGCATCAGTCCAAAAGAA